GGTCCTCCTTGCGTGAACTCACGTCTATCAAATCCAGTCACTAAGAGTTATCGTCCTTCCCATTTTAGTTCGGGTACCACTGCATAAAATCGTTAGCAAGCTGTATATGCTATATTCTTACATTATCAGGACTGGTATTCCTCTTTACTTGCCTTGGAAACATGAAATGTCCTGACTCGAAACAGGGAGCTTACTAAAGCTATGTTCAATAAATTGTGAAGTAGACAATACACACAGGAAGGGTATACGAAATCCTTTATTTTTCTATCTTTACAGGGATTTCTGGACTTCGGAATACAGAGACCAACCACTTGTGGTCTGAACGTAAGAATATAAAATTATTTACTAAAACTCTAAGTAAACTAACTTTGGATTAATATACAAGTGCCTACTTTAAGATTGGCCGTTAATTAACAAAAAGCCGTATGTAGTACAGAGAGCTGCTAAAACTACGATACGTTTAAAATTATCAAGAGGATTAAACCTCTGGCCTTGAAGGCAACCAGCAAACGAGTAAAACTACTATGGCAAGCGGCCTGCTTCTAATAACTCCTTCCTCTCTCTTGCTTGGCAAAAAGCCACAACTTAAGTACTTGGCGTTAGCAAGACAAATTTGCATAAATAAGTTAAAATCTTTTAATTCTGGCCGGAAATAGAAAATAAGAAGTGATAGTAAAGATTATTTAAAATAAAATAAACGTTAGTAAAACTTAGGATCCTTACAACATCATAAGAATATTCGAAAGCGAATTCTATAATTGCTTGTAAGGAATTTTCTTCTGCCTTCCAACATGCCTTCGTGGTGTAACGGTAGCACACTCGGCGCGTGTTAGAGAGGTACAGGTTCGAATCCCGGCGAGGCCATTCGATATTTACCATGTCTCTTGCTTGAAAATAACCCGATGGCTCTACATGGATTCGGAATTTCGCTAAAAATTCGCCGAATTTTTCCCATATTTCAATAATTTTAATGCCTAACAAGAACATTGAACGATTTTTCCTAATTTTTCAAAAATATGTTACAAGACAATATATATATATATAAGATAATAACATCGACAGATTATTGCCGAATTTATAAGAATGTATGTGTCTATAAAAATTACGTAATGTAATGCTTATTTATCGAAACTCTAATCATTTATATTACTACTTCATATGTAACAGACATTTTCATGGAAATGTTTAGACAATGTCTAACAGTTACTATATCGTAAGCCACGAAATTTTTGCAAAGTCGTTAAAATAATGGAATATGAAATTTTATTATTTATTCTGTAGAACCTTGATGTCTCCTTTTTTAATTTGATTATTTCTTCCTTCTACCTTCAAATAAAACCTTTTTATTTTAAAATAGTAATACATTCATAATAAATCTTTCGAGCGTTCTTTATTTTAAAATTAATCCCATTGTTATATAATGATGCTTATATAACGTTGATGCCATGATGCTTATATGACGCGTACTTACATAATGGCAAAAGTGAGACTGAAGCCTTTTAATCAGCAATAATGAAATGTTTGTAAAATAAATGTTTCATCAATAAATTAGGACTGATTTTTCCTTCATACTATAGTCTTCTTTCCTTTTTTCCATTGTAATTTTTTATAAATTTTAGACAAGTGCTATTTTCGTTTCAGAGTTCTCGGTATATGCTACTAATGTACAAAACAGGTTTTTCTTAATTAAAAGTGTTTTCAGCATTTATTAATTTTCTGAACTGTACATTTGTTAGCTCAGATTAATTTTCTTTTGCATTTCTCCGGGCACAAAATCCTGGAAACATGCAGATATCCTGCAATATATAAAATAATAAAATAGTTTATTTTCCTTTTTTTTTTTTTTTTTTTTTTTTTTTTTTTTTTTTTTTCTTTTTAGTCCAAAGGGATTTGAATCCCGAAGGACTATTAGTTTCGTTTGGCATTTTTGCGTCGGACTCATAAATGTCGGTTCACTTTCAAATGTTGCCACAAAATGTTAGAGTCCTGCATTATATATTTGAAGAAAAAAAATGAAAATAAAATGTAATGTAATTTCTCGTATGTGATAAAACAACGGTACATAGAGTTGTCGAATTTTTATAAACGTAAACAACGGTACATGAGAGAAGACCAAATTTGAATAACGTAATTGAAATTTGGTTTTTGGATGATTTGATTTTTCCTATTTTTTAAAACTTTGACGAATTTTTTGATTAACAAACTCAAGGATTTCAAAGCGAGCAATGGCAACGTTGTGAAAAAAAAAACATTTTTATCTCCAGCGCGTGAGTCTCTGTATCGGAAATTCTAAAGATATGCTCGTTTTAAAATTTTTTGCGATATTGCTGTTGCACTGGATCTTATGGGTTTAAGTGCGAGGAACATGATATTTAATAAAGAAAGGTAACACACAAAATGTTAAAAAACGCCCCTTTGGACGTAATTTAAAATCTGAAACATTTCAGATTTTGTTTTTTTAATTAATATATATATATATATATATATATATTTTTTTTTTTTTTTTTCATTTTTAGAATTTTTGGCGTGGTTGGTTGGCTTTGTTTTCGAGTTGTTAATTTTTTGCTCTGCTGTGCTGTATCTGAGGTATATAAGTATGTTTTTTTTGGAAATTGCTCTCGGCTGTAGTTTTGTTTTTAATTTTACCACAAAATTATTTAATTAAAAAAATCGTTTCCCCTATATCAATTTTACGCAATGATTGTTCGCACTGCTTTCAACGAATTTTGGTTGCGTTCTACTTTGAATATAATTTTTTAATTTATTTCTAATTTTTATATTTATTTTAAATTCCATACTTGAAATACAAAAATATTAGGCTTTCTTCGCATCCTAGGATCATTCGAAAACATTTCCTAATTGTACGTTTGTTCAATCGGGATCGATTAAGGTGATCAGTTGCAAAACTATTCTGTTTATGCGACAAAAATAGCAGACAAGAAATGAAATGTAAACTGTTCTCTTAAGAAAAGCGTCTTCGTTGAATGCTTAAAACTAGTAAGCGTTATTAGTTTCTCGGGACATTGATTTCTCAAAAAAGCCAGTTAATATTGATTAGCGGTTTTATTGCTTTTCTTGTACATGCGTAGCTATGAATTAACTTGCTTTAGAAAATTTGCCAAAAAGTCATGGTCTTTTTTTAAGTGACTTAAATAACAACGTTATAGGCATTGTCTATTTCAGTTCTGAAGTTCCAATATATTCTTTCTCTTATGCTGATACCTAAGAAAGCCACGTGTTAGCGCTATCCGACCGATAATAGACACATTTCCGTATTTCATTTTATCAGAAATTATGTTTTCAGTTATACTATGTTATGTTTGTTTGTTTGACTCTGACTCGATAGTATGTACAACTAAAGAAAAGTATAAAAAATAAAATCTGAAAGTTTTCAGATTTCACCTTTCGCCCAAAGGGCGTTTTTCTACGTTTTGTGTATTACCTTTATTTATTAAATATCATGTTCTTCGCACTTAAACCATAAAATTCAGTTCAACAGCAAAATCGCAAAATAATTTTAAAATGTGCATATCTTTAGAATTTCCGATACACAGTTTCGCGCGCTGGAAAAAAAAAATTTTTTTTCCCCTCCGTGTAGTGTTGCCATTGCTCGCTTTGAAATAGTCGAGTCTGTTAATCAAAAATTCGTTAAAGTGTTACAAAATATTAAATCGATAATAAAACAAATTTCAAATTCCAAACTCGGGCTTCCAGATGCCCATATTCGGATCTAGACTTTGGTGGCAACAATTTGAAGACTTAACCGACATTTATAGTGAACCAACGCAAAATGCCAAAACGAAATTAATAACCTTTCTGAGCTAACTCCCTTGTGGCTAAAAATAAAATGCCAAATATATATAGACTTTTAATTACAAATGACTACAAATTTTATGCTTCAAAAACATTTCCGTTCTCTAAGTAAAAACACATTGCGCTAATTGCTTTATCTTAAGTGTTGCTCAAGTAATTTATCCAAGTTCAGACATGAAATTGAATAATATCTGCACTTTTAAGTTGCTTATATATAAAGTCTGTTGCTAAGTTCATAATTCGTGTATTTAAGGACTTCAGAGTTTTGTACCGAAAAATTCTTCAGATAAATAATTATGTAGGACGAAATATGATTAACTTCCGAAACACATAGTTTACTTAGAGCAATCTATAAATTAGAGCTTATCTTCAGCTGATATTTCTCTCGCGCTTAATCTAAAAGCTGGTCTATTTTCATCCTACATCAGCAGAAACTGGGCAAGGGTGAGGAAAGTGTGCGCATTAGGTTTTGCTGAAAAATTAGAACTCACACCAAATTGGTAAAGAAAATTAAGAAAAATTCTAATGTCATTTATTATAATGAGTGTTTAAGACACATATAAGATAGCGGCATTTAGTAAAAGAATTTTTGAAATTTAATTAAGTAGAAAATGTTTGATTTTTTTTTACAAAAGTGAGGCAACTTTAAAATTTTGCCAGATTTTAAATTCAAATTCATTTTTTTTAACTCCTTGCATCCAATCAATGTATATCTAACTTAGAAAAATTTAGCTAATTGCTTCCATTAATATCCAGTAATTACTGCTCAAAATAAGAAAATTCGAATAATTTATAAATACCTTTAAAATATTTCATTTATTTTTCTTTAATCCTTAAAACGTTCTTTGTTAAACGAAATGTTCAATGTTTAAAAGAATGACTCGTGTATTTGCCATTCTTGTGACATTATCCACAGGGGGAAAAAGAAGTTTGTACAAAGTAAAAAGGAAAACAAAAACTCACACATAATTAAAAACTAAGAAGTTAAAAAAAGCTTTCAGTTACCTGAAGCACTTTTAACTAATATAAACAGACCAACTTCAATTCTTATATTTTTTCCTTATCAGAATTATCTTAGTATTTTTAATAATAAACCAAATTAAAGTATTATAATTTATTAACAATTCTGAACCATCGCAACACAAATAAAAACTACATTCGCGATGTGAATATAAAGATCTCCTTACCTTTTAGACTGAAAGGGACAAGCCATGATAATTTTCCAAGCACATCTAAATTTCTGTAATCTGTGAACTGGATTTATCTCAAGCAGTTTTGTTTTTCACTGACTGTCCTCGGGCAGCTTCTTATTGGTGGAATGACGTCATTGTACTAATGAAAGAAATATTCGTTTGGAAAGAACCCAAAAAAAGTGCCTGTGAAAGTAGATCGGGATATCAAAATTCAGATCCTGCAGAGATTTAAATGTCGATAAGGAGAGGTTTGCAATAGAATATTTCTCACTGAGTTTAGATTATTAAGGTGTTGAAAGTATAGTTTATTTACGTACTTTTTAACTTGTGCCTTGTTTTGCTTCATTTACCTAATTTCGTATCACATTTCACTTCAATCAAAATAATAAAACTAATAGTTATAAGACACCGTAAAAATCGTAATGAACTGTTCGAATTCGATTTTTAAATATTTTTATGGGGTTTGAAATATATTTTTATTTTTATTTGACGTTAAAAGTAGTATAACACATTTATTGTACACAGGAAATAAACTCTAGCAAATAATTAATAGCGTGGATTGTACTATAATGTATTACTTTAAAACAGGCACTTCAAGGCCTTATGACCCTTCTCCATGTCATCATCACTATACAGTACTTATTTTGCCCACATGATTAGAGACTGCATTTCAGTTTAGCCTTCATTTGTGCGCTTTTCATGAAGCGAAACGCGGTAAATGGAAATGAAGTGGGAGGAAACAATTAGCGAACTCGACAATTTGTTGCAACTAACGTTACCATGGTTACGACGCAAGCAGGAGGATAGAAAATGATCTTGAAGTGCATATTTAAAAGCAAAAGAATATGATCTCCAACAATTTGAACTCAAGTAGAAAGCAAGTGCCTAAGCAATAATGAGTAGCTCTGACTCAGTATCACATAGGCACTTAAAAAAAAAAAAAAAAAAAAAAAAAAAAAACTTATTAATTCTTGGAAAATTAATTATGGGTATTTCTTTTGAAGTCTTAATTTTATTTTTTCTACCTCAACCTTTTAATTTTAAATTATTTAAAAAAAAACACCCACGTTACGTTACGTTTTCTTAATCTGAACTTATTCAACTATCTTTTTAAACATTTCAGTGTTTAATTTGATAATTCTCAATTAATTTCAGGCAGCTATATATTAAATAAGTAGTTTCACCTAATGATTCATCTATGCCAATGATTCTCAAAATAATATTATCGCCCCCAGTAGGCGCTGGAGTTTTATAAAGGGGCGACTGAAGCTCTAAGTGATGTTGGTTTGGTTCGGTTTATTTGAAATATGGTAAAGCCCTCAAGGAGTGTCTGCCTAAAGGAGGGATGCCTTCGTGGAAGACATTCCAAGAAAAACTGTCTCGTATACGTGGGAAAAACCGCGAAAACGCCTATGCAGTCAGCACGTTCATTGGGATTCGAACCAAGGACCAAAATACCATTCAGCGACTTTACCGCTTGGCTGTTGGTGAGTCCCAAGTTATTGGAGATGCATCGTATAGCAGTTGGTAAGCAGTGGGGAAAAAAAATGTCGCACTAGAGATTCGAATAATCCTGAGACAGGCAGAAGCGCGCTTTTTTGTTTGACAGTACGATCTTCGGATTCTTCAATTCCAAAGTCATTTATCACCTTCAAGAACACTTGGATCACGTAGTGCGACACTTCCTGTTGTTTTTGTTGTTACTTATGCTCACTTGTCAGGCCTTTAGTCAGGCCAAGCCCACGAAATTACTCGTGGCAAGGAGCGTAAGATGCGCCAGCCGTTGGCAACAGCCTTGAGCACCTTAAGACGTTATCTCATCTAGCAATGGCCCCTGCTAGATAGGACTTTTCTGAGAAACCAGATTCTGGTATCACTGGCTTAAACGGAAGGATTCCTAGAAAAAGAGTTTTGCCTAACTACGGAAACGATGTACCGGCTACGCGGGAGTTTTTTAAACCTCGCCGAAAATGTTTCCCGCGTAAAGATCAACCAATCAGACGAAAGTTCTGCTTCTGAAGGATCACGTGATCCCAATCTGAGCGATAATCGATTACTGTTTGGTGTTCACGTCTTTGTTGTAAGTGAAAATTGTAACCCAGCTACGTGGGTTTCCTGGAAATGTGCGGGTTCTGAGAATTGTCGCTTTCGATGTCCAGTCTTTCGTAGCGGAACATTACAGGTGACAGTGAGATTTAGCTTAGTTCCGCCCCCAATTTTGATGGAGAAAACTCGGTAAGGCGTGTCCGAGGGTCTCTCTCCCCTTCCAACAAACTACATGAGATGACTTTCGGCTCGCCGCATATTTTTATTTATGTATTACGGCCCACTGTATATATTATGAAACATGTATGCACTATGACCAATGAAAATTATTATGAACTACTATGTATGTATTATGTACCAGGCTAAAATATTAATGGTAAACACTATGTATTATGTATAATATGGCCAATGAAAATTATTATGAACTATATGGTGGTATTAGTAACAGGCTCAATATTATGAACTATGTAAGCCACTATGTAAGCATGTAATGATGTATGGTATGTAGCATTTTTTTATTATTAAAGATTAGCATTATAACTACTTGTATATAAGCATGTACTATGAACTATGTAACTGTAGCATATATTATGAACTATGTAAACTATGTAAACATGTATACAGGACCAATGTATGCCCTTATAGGCCCCATGAGGTGTTGCCCCGGATAGTTGCGGAACCTGGACTAGACCCGAATAGTCTTAGTAAGCCGCACGGGTGTCCAGATTCTGCTCTCAACTCAACTCGCCGCATATTTAGAGTGCCGTTGTGCCGAAGCCGAGACTATAAATTTACAAACATCCATGTCTTCTCCGGGATTCGAAGCCGTGCCCAGGGACAGCGTTAGTCCGCGACGCTAACCGCTAAAAGGGTTGGGCGGCTTCACACTTCCTATCTGTGCTAACAGGTTGCGCCGCGAGGCAACGACATGAAAAGCGACTGAATATCAAGGAATTTACAAAAGCATCGTGATAAAAAAATGAGCAAAAATTTCTTTGTTTTAAAAATCTTTATATAAAAATCCGTCATTTTAAACAAACCTGCAAATCATCACAGGACGATAACATTTAGACATGCGTTATCAAATTTTAAAAGATCCAAATGCATGTTCACTGTTGTACTGTATACTGATTTCTGAGCGCAAGGGAAAAATATAAAGAATATTGTTTCATTATTTCAAATTTCTCAAAGAACTAACAATGCCTTGCTGATTAACCGAGAAAGAACTTTAAGCATGCAAAATCTGAAAATAACTGCTATGTGTAGCATTTAGCAGAAATTTTAATTTATGCAGTTAAGTATTAAAAGTCATTATTTAATTAATCATCAGAGTCAGAACTGATTAGCTAAGTTTTACTTCCTGTTTATTAACAAAGATCTAGCTTCCAGCAGAGAATCGAGCACTATTTTTATTACCGTGAGCGTTTATCTACTGTGATTACTTCACACAATTACGTTTCATTATTTGTAAGCTGAAAAGCTCACTTTTCTTCTTTAAGTAAGAAGAAATCTAATCTGCATAAATCATTTCAAGGTACAAGACATTTCATTACTTGTCATGACTCTGATTTGACAGGAGGTGAACATCGAATGCTTTGCCTGCAGGCTAACAGATCGTTAACGCTTTTCTGCTTAGGGATTGGAGGTCATCGGTTTTAATCTCGAATTAGAATTGCATAAGAATTTTGCTATCAAATTTTCTTGCTATCGAATGATGTCGAATTCATTAAAATAAGTCTCCTTTCAGTTTTATTTTATACCTGCGTTGCACTAAAACCTGATAATAAGCCGTTGATTTCGTATTACCTATCTTTCGCCAGCTGTAATAAAATCAGGACTGTAGTAGGATATTGTTGTTAAACATGAGCATTTGTATAGCATAGGATTCATGATCATTTGCATTCTACGGTATTAGTTACTCCTCATTATTTTTAAAAGGAGTTTTGATCTTGCTAGAAACAAATATCAAATTTCTTTTAAGGTGGAATAAAAAAACATTCATCTGAATGTTTGCTTGAAAGAAAATGAAGCTACTGTGTAAAATTTTTATGGGGATTCTTTAAGAACCCAGAACTCGTTAGGTGGAATAATTAAATTCACAGCAATTAAAACACTCGAAGTTCGAATTCTACTAAAAACGCAATTGAGCTGTCTGTTTCTTTCTCCCAAAAACTTTCCAATTTCTACAATGGTACTTAAACTGAAATTGTCACCACATGGGCTGGAGTTTACTGGCTCTCATGCCTCTCCCCAATCGCACTTTAAGATGACAGCGTAAGAAATCATCGTATCCCTTCTTGCGTTCTTGCACTGTATGTCCAGCAAGAAGTGAAATATCCGCCGCTCGAATACCGGCGAGTGCGCAATTGATTTTTCGCATCTCTCGACCTAAAAGTCTAAAAGCCTAGTGCAACAAGTGAAATTTTGCCTTCTTCGCTAAAAAAAACACTATAAGTCTATTTTAGTATAAGAAACCAATATAGCTAAGCATTAATTTTTAACTGCGAAGATAATACATCTCTTCTTATGGTGATTTATCAGCACTGCTGGTGAGAATGTAAGGACACCAAGTGAGTGTTTGTCGATACGATACTGCTAATAAAACTTATGTTGATTATGCTATAAAATTACTAAAAAAATAAAATATTTTGTACTTGCATTATATGAAATGTATATAAAACGTTAAATATAGTACTAATATTAGTTAAGTACAGAAGGTGTTAGAACGATTTCGATGAAGATTTTTTAAAGAGAAGTGAAGATTTTGAAATAAAAATTTCTGCTGATTATTTGAAATGGAAAATATCGTCACCTACCTTTTAAATTTATTCTTTCAAATATCCCATGTAAAGAAGCTTTGGGTTGGAGAGTAGGTTTTTGCGCATTTCGGAGAGAAATTTTCCTATTCCATAATTCAAAAACGTTTTGAAATGCGTGGTATTAAACTTTTAAGTGCAAAATAAGCAACATTATTAATAGGAAAGGAAACAAAATATCAATCCTTACTTCTACATGAAAAGAAAACTTAAAACGAATACCCGAAAAAGATAGGTATTTTTTCTAATGTTTCTAAAATGAAATGATTGGTAACCACAGAATATC